ATTTAAGTCACCTCAGCTGTAATCACTCTAATGCAGTTCGCTTTTCCTTGCCGTCGCATCGGTTTCTCACCGCTTCCTGTAGAATGCGACAGCGTAATCTCAGGTGCTACTAGTAGTTCGCTTTGCGACATGTTAATTGATTTGGAAGCGTTGATTTGTTTGACTAGTTTTCTTGGCCATTAATTCCTTCAACTTGATTTGGTTCAGATTGGGGAATGGTTTTGTTGGATTTTGCATAATGTTTTTGTTGTCATTCTTTCGTTCATTGATTGAAGCGTAATTCATTTTCACTATTCATGAGAAAACGTGATTCTTTGAGGTTGAATTTTAAACGAGAGTTAGCGAAATTTAAGACTTAACTAATAAATGATATTTCGGCTAATTAGATAGTATATCCGATCCTTAAGGTAGGAGCTAGATAACTAATTTAGAGAAATTAAAAAATTAATTAAGTTAGTTATTTGTAACAAATGTGTGCTGACTTCCTTAAATTGCTCTTATTCAATCATGTACATTAAAACTACATTTGAGTGGAAATACCTTATAATTATTAGGGATTTTTTTAGAACATATTATGAATTTAGAAGACAAAGTATATTAAAATATTATACTTAGGAAAGCAAATTAGGTCTTATATCTAAGATGGTAGGTGGTAATACTTTTGATTTGATAATAACCGAATTATATATATGTAAATCAAAAAGTTAATTAACATTGATTAAAAACATAATAAATATGTAAAATGTTTTTTTAAAAATAGTCTTATTTATAGGAACGCTTGGGGAGAGAAAATAAGTGAAAAAAATGATTAAAAAATGAACAAAAGAGATACCAGTATATAATTAACTGATCAGAAGGGATGAATGGATTATCTGGGCATGTAGTTCAGAAAAAATACCGTACGTGGGGATATTTTTCACAAATAAATTGGCGCATAAAGTGCTATTAATTTTTTAAAAAACTTTCTGCACTTATCCCATGTGGCTGTCACACGGGTTTTCCCCAGCGTTCGAGCCATTAATGCTACGGGAAAATATTAATGAAGTGTGCATTAATTGTCCCAAAGTGGGTCATGGCTCCAACGAATGCTCTAAGGCAGTGGGCTTTCAAGGAAATTACGAAGGCTCTTTTAATGGGCCTAAATCTTCACACATAAATCATCTTGGCCCAGATAGTTTTTTAAAATGGAATTGTGTTTCCTTCTTTACAGGCCCAATAGCACTTCAGGCCCCTTGTCTTCTTTTAAATTGAACGTTGATGATGTTGATTTGGATGGCTCTGATGGCTTTAGTTGTCATTCGCCAGTCAGGTCGTCAGATCTCTACACGTGTAAACGAAAACGATTGGAAGCTGAGGGAGGAGCTATAGCCAAGTTCCCTCAGACTAGCTGTAATGATGCGTTTTCAGGTCTGCTAACTTGTATCCGGAAGTGATCCTTAAGTCCAAATTTTGAGTTTCCTCTAGTTTTAAACTGCCACGAAGATCAGATCAGTGTTCGACCTATTTGTCTTGATAATTTTTCATCTTTCTATCAAACAGTTTCAGCTTTACACAAGAAGAGAAGGGCATTACTATTGTTATCCAAGGCATTACATCTCGGTTTTAAGTGTCTAGGCAGGGGATTTCAGTGTCGTCGAGCAAATTCTTGTATAGCAGGAACAATGGCTACGTCGGTCAAGATCTACAGTCTGTGGGTTTTCGCAAATCTTCAGCCGAAAAGATTCACGTAATCAACACATGACTATCTGGGTTACTTGCAGGCCCAAAATGGACAGTGTCATGCCTACTATTAGTTCACTTTAGACTGCTCAGAACATACTTTTGTTTGTCTTCTGCTCGCTTTCATTTTGGTGGTTTACTATAGGTGTTCTCTTTGGATGTTTTTGGATGAGCGTTCACTTGTGATGTTGTGATCTTTTTTTGCTTTCAGACAGCAACTCTATTAAGGTTTCATGTTTATTTTTGTCTCTGCTGTATAGCCCAGGGGCTTTGTACTGGAGCTTCTTTCAACACCCAAAGGGTGCAGATATCATGAGACATTGGGTTGCATCAATGACTCACAATGGCGTTCTCTCTTGAAAAATGTGATGCAGCTTCAAGAAAACAGGTGCTTACTACTGAGTATCTATGCGTGGAAAAAAATGGTTGATGTAGCAAGAGATTCAAGCTTTGAATTGTCTCCGATCTGCCGGCAACAATTGGGGTCTACAATCACAACCAAGTTTAATTTAGTTGTCGTAATGTTGCATGTTCTCTTATTGTTAATTTTTTTTGGGGGTTGTTTGTGTTGTTGGTTTGTTCTATTTTTTTATTTCAGTTATATTGGCGCGCTGTTCTCCTTTGATTTATGAGAAATGACAGCAACAAAAAGAAAGAAGACTGAAATTGTAAATTCCCAATTCAAGAAGCTAAGAGTTAAAAATAATAAGAAGAAAAGTAAACTCAAATTAAAATTTTAAAATTTAAAGAAAATGATAAAAATATCTTTTTTGTTTTTTGAAAAAAAAATTCAATCCTTCGCCTAAGACCATGGCCGGCAACAGGCTGCCGCCACCATGGTGGCTACCAACGTGGTTGGTGCCAACAGTTTTTTTTTTTTTCTGACAGTAATATTTTTTGGTTGTAGAAAAGAAAAGTGGTAAGAATGGGATTTGATCCCACCACCTATCACCCCGTGATTATTTAGGCCAACCAAATCTCTGACTTCTTGTTTTGTGCCTAACTCCTACCTAAACTGGCGATCACATCACCATCGGATTGCTGTGTCACGTGAAGGCCTTCCCATATTTATTAAATCTTAGTATTGCAACTTGTTTATACGGATGTGATTTGTCGTTATACTTACGCCGAGAGTCTTACGTTTGTTGGTACTGATGCCCTTCATATTTGTTGTAGAAATGAATCTGTTAAAAAGCTCTAACATTTTGGTTGCCCTTATAATCTTGATGCCCTTTATATCGGTGGTCTATAATTTATATATAGAAATTCAGTATCAGATGTTTCAAACCTTGGGTTTACTGTCTTTACTGTCTCTAAATGTGAAAACATGAAAATGGTTGTAATTGGAATAGCCTACGCAGGGCAATATTCGGAGGCCATGGCCTTATATTTTTATTTATTCAAACGAGGTTTTAATCATTTAAACTGCAGTTTGGATGGAACTAAAAGCTCAACCAAGTTCTAACCAACTTCTAGTTTTCAATCTTAGTTGGACTCAATAGAAAAAAATATGATTTTTCCATTTCAAACTGCAGTTTCATGTTTTTCTATAAATTTTTATAACTGAATTCATTTTTCTATTTAGGATGTGTTTGGATTAACGTTGGGTAAAATTGACTTCTAACCCAATTGACTTTTGTAACTGAAGTTAGAATAAAAATCAGTTAGTGTAATGCGATTTATGTTTGGATAGGTGCTTATACAAAGTCAGTTGAAATAGTTTAAAGTTGTTTGGATGATTAATAAAAAGTTAGTTTAATTGTAAAATGACTGAAAAGGGCATAGACTTTATTGAATAGTGGTGTTTGAAATTTTATGTTTTTAACGTGATAATAATTTAAAAAAATACATAAAATTATTATGATAAAATATAAATAGTTTATTTGTGAAATTATAAAATAAAAATATTTATTACAAAGAAAAATTTGAAAACACATTGTAGATAATTAATTAGATATACATAATGGATAAACATAAATATAAATTAAAATTCATTTGGTCTCTAATTAAAATAAATGAAATTACATAACTAATTTGATTGTAAGCTTTACACAATTTTCCTATAGGTCAATTAGAAAAGTTACAAAAGAAACCCATCCAACCAATTAATTTTACCCAAATAAGTCACAAACCTCAGTTTCACACTTTCCCATGTGTTTTTACCTTTTCCAATGACAATTCAAATGAGGTTTTAATCATTTAAACAACTTTTAACTTTGACTTTTTATAAGTACTTATACAAACATAAATCGCATTGCACTAACTGATTTTTATTCTAATTTCAGTTATAAAAGTTAGTTAGACTAAAAGTTAGTTTTGCCTAACATCAATCCAAATACACCCTATAAGGAGTAGTTGTAGTTAAGATGGATATGATTAGAAATTTTATTTTAGAAAAACCAACAGATTTGTTTTTGTTTACAATAATTAAATTAATTAATTTTTTATAATATTTACAAATTAATTATCTATTTTTTATATTAAAAATTAAACGTGCTAATAAATACTTGTGCGGTGAACCAAGTCAAGATGAGCGGGTTTTTTTTTTTTTTTTTTTGGTGTCAAGATGCGCGTGGGAGTACAATGATGAGCCCTCTTGCAAGTACTACTGAGTTAGACCCCACCATTGTACATTTGGTAGATAGGCGTCTATTGAATTTCTGTCTCCATACTTTTTTTTTTCCTTTCCACTGTCGTCTTTCGTCATTTTTTCTATTCGATCGTTCGTGGAAATTTCTCTCATAATATCTCCTCACTTTCCCTTTCATTTATTTGCCTCCTTGAGTCCTTGACTCTTTCACACGCATTAAGAAATTTAGATACAATTGCTAGCCTCATTTAAGATGTTTTAAATTTAAAAATTGTACTTTTTTTTGAAAATTTCTACGATGATTGGGCAAGATATATACGTTTAATCTATATACCTATATATCACTATGCATCTCATATTCATCATATTTTATGTTTCCATACCTTTTTGTCGTAAAAATTAATGCACAAAACATTATTACTTGCATATTGATCAATAATATCTTTATTTAATTTTACATGAAGCCACAGTAATGATGATCGTTTCTTGTCACATTCTTATATCTTTTCCAATCTTAAAGTTTGTACCTTATAAAAAGTATCCCCACCTAATATTCTTCTAAGTTGAGAGTCAAGCCTGTTTTAAAGTCAACACAGACTCTATTTCATAGTCACCAGAACCTCAACCCTTCATTCTTTCCGGTGCTGGAGATATCTCTCTTCTTTCTTTACTCGTCGCTTAAGATTAGCTCATGGCACATCTAGCACTATCCTCTTCTATCACTTACAAATGGACTTTTGATGTGTTTCTTAGTTTTCACGGTGAAGATACTCGCTTAGGTTTCACCAGCCATCTCTATCGTTCTCTACGTCAAAGTGGAATTCATGCCTTTCTCGATGATGAATTCATTAGGATTGGAGAAAATATCACACCCGCGCTTTTTGAAGCTATACAAAAATCAAGAATAGCCATCATAGTTTTCTCAGAAAACTATGCAAACTCAACGTTTTGTTTGCAAGAACTTGAAAAGATTCTAGAGTGCTTCAAGGAACAGAATCGGTTGATATATCCAGTATTTTGTTATGTGGATCCATCAGAACTACGACGTCCCAGAGGAAGCTATGCAGCAGCATTGGCTCGACTGGAGGAAAGATTCAAGGACAATCCGCACAAGGTGGAAAAGTGGAGGCTGGCTCTGTCTCAAGCTGCTGACCTCAGAGGCTGTCATCTCAAACCCAAGTATGTACATCTCCTCACTCTTTTTGCTAGTATTTTAAGTATAGTTACTTTCAATTTCCATCTTACAACAACTTGCACCTAAACATACCCTACAAGGGCAGCGCTTGCCAAGTTTGGTACCATTATTTCGTGCTAACAATAGTTTTGTGAAATGTGCTGATTATTTCTTTGAAAACTCATCGGAAAACATGTTTTTAATTTCATTCTCCAAAAAACAAAAAAAGATAAACAGTAATCAAGCATGCCATATGATGTTCCTCCCAGAATTCTGTTCACTAGCTAGAACACCATTAACCCAACACTTAAAAAGGCGCACAACACCATAACTCCGAGTTTTTATACCTAAAATTGACATATCTTGAAGTTTTAGTTTAACTAAAAGTGAATTTCTTACAAATTGTTCAGGATTGCAAATGAACAAGAGTTTATTACAAGGATCACGAATGTTGTTGCTGCTAGGATTAACCGGTTGCCTTTATATGTTGCAAAATATCCCGTTGGACTTGAGGCTCGAGCCAAGAGAGTTATCTCTCGTTTACATCTTTGGTCCACAAAGGAAATTAAAATGATAGGAATTTGGGGAGCTGGTGGAATAGGTAAATCAACTATTGCTAGGGCTGTATATAATTCAATTGCTGATAATTTTGAAGGCTCGTATTTTTCTCCTAGTGTAAGAAAGGACTCCAAAATGCCACATGGTTTGTCACATCTTCAAGAGACATTATTGCGTGAATTAGTCATGGAGAAAGATCTTAAATTGAACGATTATCATGAGGGAATACCAATAATAGAACATAGGCTTGGTCAGAAGAAGATTCTTTTGATTCTTGATGATGTTGACGAATTAAACCAATTAGAAGCACTTGCTGGAAGTTGCAATTGGTTTGGTTGTGGAAGTAGAATCATCATCACGACCAGAGATAAGCAATTACTTGTATGTCATGATGTTACAAGCATTTATGAAGTCGAGGAATTAAATTATAAGGAATCTCTTAAGTTGCTTAGTTGGTGTGCATTTAAAAAAGAAAATGTAGATTCCAACAACATGGAGGCTTGCAATCGTGCAATCCGTTATTCGTGTGGCTTTCCATTAGTTTTAGAATTGATTGCTTCTAAATTGTGTGGTAAAAGAGTTGATCTCTGGAGTTCTGCATTGGATAGATTAAAAAGCACACCACATCAAAGAGTTTTGGATGCCTTGAAATTAAGCTATGATAGTTTAGAGCGAGTAGAGAAACAAGTTTTCCTTGACTTGGCTTGCTTTTTCAATGGTGGGAAATTAGCATATGTCAATCATATCTTGCACTGTGTTCGGGGAATCCAACAACCAGAATATGTTATTGAAGTGCTGATTGATAAATCCCTTATAAAGCTTGAACAAGATCTTGTAACAATGCATGACTCGATAGAAGATGCCGGTAAAGAGATTGTTCGACAAGAATCATCATATCAGCTTAGCAAACAAAGCAGATTATGGTCCTATCAGGACATCCTTCAAGTCTTAGAACAAGACAATGTAAGATCACCAACATGTACTTTTCAATTTCTATGAAAAATTCCTAATGATTTATAATATCTATGTTTTGAAATTTATCGTGTGCTTTTTATTTTGGAAGGGGACAAACAAAATTGAAGCCATAATTCTAGACTTGCCTGAAAATATAGAAGTACAATGGAGTGGGGAGGCATTTGTGGAGATGAAAAGTCTCAAAATGCTTGTGATAAAACAAGCATGCTTTTCTGAATGTCCCAAATATCTGCCAAAGAGTTTAAGGTGGTTGGAATGGAAAGGGTACTCTTTCAAATTTTTCCCATCTTTGTGTGCAACTGAACTTGTCTCTCTTGACTTGTCCTTCAGTTCTTGTGAATTGCTCCAACCATTTGACAAGGTGAGTACATAAATACCCTTGTTCTTTTCTTTTTAATTTGCTTCTATGCTGAATTCTCAAAGTAATTAAATTGATATTTTGTTTTGCAGAAATTTCGCAATTTAAGTAGTATGAAGTTAACAAATTGCAAATCTCTACAACAAATACCAGACTTATCTGGGGCTTCTAATATAAGAGAATTATGTCTTGATGGTTGCACAAATTTGATTGAAATTCATGATTCAGTTGGATGTTTAAATAAATTGAGAGAATGGAGTGCTATGCGATGCAAAAACTTGAAGATTTTGCCATCTTGCCTAAGGTTGACATCTCTTGAACATCTCAACCTCTTCGGTTGTTCAAGTCTTCAAAGATTTCCAGAAGTATCTATCTTGATGGAAGAAATGCAGACACTTGATTTGGACAAGACAGCGATTATTGAATTGCCATCTTCAATCTGCAATCTTATTGGACTTCGAGTCTTAAGCATGGAGGAATGTCCTAATCTTATGCAGCTACCAGCTAGCATTTGTACGCTACCAAACCTTTGGAAACTAACAGCAAATTCTTGTGAGCAAATGAGTCATTTTAAGAAATGTGAAGGTGGAGATGAAGCAACAAACTTAGATTGCTCGGCAATGGCATTGAGAATGGAACACCTTTTTTTTTCAAATTGCAAGTTATCAGATGAATCTCTTGCGTTTAGTCTTGCTCACTTCATTAATATGACACATCTAGATCTGAGTTTTAATGATTTCACAATTCTTCCGGAATGCATAAAAGAATATCATAATTTGAAATATCTTTTGTTGGATAATTGCAACAAACTTCAGCATATTGGGGGGATGCCACCAAACTTGGAAAAATTTAGTGCCATATGTTGCTCATCATTGACTGAGTTATCCAAAATCAAAGTATTGGAGCAGGTATATCCGCCCTCACTCTATGATTATATTCTTTTATTATTGCTTATGTGTTGGTGATCAACTTTTCTTTTTCGGCAATATGCAATTTGCAGGCTATCAACTTTCAATGTGGGAAAAAAAACTTTATTTTGCCTGGAGAAAAATTTCCAAAAGGGCTCCATAAGTATGATTGGGGAAATTCTGTGTCAATTTGGGTTCGTGACGTGCTCCCAACAACTTTTCTTTGGATTCTTGTCAAAGATGTCCAGGATTATGTCTACAATTGTGAATTCTCAGTGCACATCAATGAGGAAACCAAGCTGGGTATTTCTTCTAAGTGGAGTTCGTTGTCACCAATAAAGACTAATCACATATATATATGTGATATACAAAGCATGGTTTACAACACTGAACTCCCCCTTGCAAATAAGTGGAATCAAGTGAAGGTTTGCATTCAGAGGAAAACACAGGAAAGAGAAATCCTAAAAGAAGTTTATTTTGGAGTTCATGCATACGATCTACAAGGCAACTTAGAAAATATTCAATTCGTGGACCCCATGCCTTACTCAACACGAGGTATTTAACCCTTCCCCGGTCTTTTCATTTTACCATTGGTATTCTTTATTTCTACCGCTTGCAACTTCAATTCATCATCGACTTATTTATTTTTATTTTTTATTTTATTTTGATTTTTGGAAGAACTAAAAGAATATGCTATAACAGAGAGAGATAGGAAAACATAATGGAAGTTCTACGAATGTTTAATAATGGAAAAAAGTGAATTTACTTTTTATATGTTTCTCTTTATTCTATCTTATCGGTCGCGTTTTCCTCTCTCCCATTTTTTTTCTTCTCAATCTCCTTATATTCCCCCCGTCCCTCAAAAAAAAAAAAAAAAAACCCCTTTTCCTTGGTCTGGCGGTTAGCCAAGTTTGTTGGAGGATATATATTAAATATAAGGAAAAAATAGTAAGAAATCTCATATAATAAGAACTTAATTAGTAATGGTCTGGCCGGAAAAAAAATTAGTAATTGATTTCATTTAGGAAGAATTGTACTAAAGTCCCACATAAGAGAAATAATTGTAGAACAATCCCAATACAATCCGAAATTACTCTGCATGACCAAGGAATTAATTGGAAATTATTTTTATTTTAAATTACTAAAATGCTCTTCAAGTAATAATTGCAGAGCTTTTACGATTTTGTAGTTTATAATTATAATTATTGTTATTTATTATTACTGTTAGGATTTGTTTGGTAAGAAGGGAGAGGATGTGGTGGGAGGGATATTTTGCTTCCTTCCCCTTGTTTGGATTGCCAAAATTTTTAGAAGGGGAAGGAGAATTTTCTTTCTTCTCCCCTCTAACCCTCCCCTCCCAAATTGGGGGATTTGGACATAGTGGAATATTTTAGCTTATTTTGACTAACATACTTATAATTAGTTTTTAATATCCCCATATTATCCTTCTAATCTTACATCATGTGTGTAAGGAATGGTAATTGTTACATTCTTATTAAATCATATCCCTCCCCTCCCTCCTTTTCTCATCAATCCAAACAAGATAATATTAAAATCCCTCTTCTCCTTTCTCTTCTCTTTCCCTCCATTGAAATCCCTCCTCTCCCCTCCCCTATTTTGAGCCAAACACACCCTTAATGTTGCCGCATATGTGACCATCAATCACAACTCATGTTTTATTCTATATCTTTAACAATTTAGAAATGTTTATGTTATTCTTTCTTTAATTTCTTAACCGTGTTTCTCAATATTTATTTCTATTTTCATGGACAGAGATATGTATTAAGCACGAGTCTGAATCTTATGGGGATTTAGAAATTTTGGAAGCTGGCGGTTATAAGGGTACAACATATGCAAGAGGTCATTCCTACGACAACTTGACAGAGTTGCGCCTTACAGATTGCAACAGATGTCGCAGTATTCCTGCACTTGGCCAACTACCTGCTCTTAGGTCCTTAACTATTGAAACATTACGAAGTTTGGTGGCTGTGGGTTCTGAGTTTTCCAAGGCAGATGATTGGGCTTCACTTATACCATTTCCATCCCTTGAAACTCTCAGTTTTAAACATATGATCTCCTGGGAACAATGGCATTCCATTGATATGGAAGCTTTTCCTAAACTCCAAACTCTTAGCTTTATAATTGTCCCAAATTAATTGGAAATTTACCCCCCAAACTTCTTTCTTTAGAGCGTCTGGGCATTCAACGATGTCCACTGCTTGCTTCTTCTATCCCAAAGTGTCCAATCATTCAAAAGATTGCTATAATTAAAAGTCCAAATGTAGCGTTGCAAGAGCAAGAATTACCACCTTCCCTACGCCGTCTGGCAATTTCAGGTGGGCACGGGTTGGGGTCTCTGTCCGTAGAGTTGCATATTGAAGATTTAATTGTCTGGGATTGTTCTGATGCGGTGCCACCTCCACTGATCCATATCCCCCCATCAGTGAAACAGCTAATTATAGGAGGCTGTGAAAATCTCAACGCTTTTCGGGTTCCAAAGGCACCTCTTGTTCATGTCCGAAAGATTTCCCTTTACTATTGCAAGTTTCTAACGTCCTTGTTTGATAACATGGAGTGTCTTCTTCCAAATTTAGAAAAGCTTAAAATAAAAGGATGTCCAAAAATGGAGCCATTCTCACCAGGGTTGTTACCATCCAGTTTAAAACAACTTAAGATAAGAGAGTGTGACAAGTTATTATCATGTCATGCGAAATGGCATCACCTTCCAACTATCATTAAGCTTGTCATCTCTACTGATTCTGACACATTGCATTGCATAGGGCTTCAACACCTAACCTCTCTTCAACAACTAGAGCTTCGGTATTCTGACAAGCTTGAGAAAATAGAAGGAGGAATGATGCCTCCTTCCCTACTAAAGCTCCGCATTAGGGATTGCCCGCTTCTCGAAGAGCGATGCCTCGACAAGGATGAGGAAATTTGGCCAAAAATCTCTCACGTTCCATACATCAGTTTAAATGGCAGACGTTTAAGGTGCATTGATCCCTTATTCCAAGTACTAGTTTCATATAAGTATCATATTTAGCATATTACATGCAAGCAGAGAAGCTGGTAGTGTTTCCATATAAATTGTTTCTCAGTATTCAATTATCTGGTTTGCTGAATCCGCCAATATTATTACTCTTCTTATGTGTATACTGATTCATTGGAGTGAAATTTACTTCTAAGACTCTTTTTCTTATTTTTAATATTTTTCTTTACTCTCAACTTCTTGAAACATGCCTCTCTTTTGGTGGAAATTTTCTAGCTATTTAATTCTTCAATGACTTCTTCGAATTCTTTCATTTATTAGTTCTTGTATATACACTCACTACATTTTTTTTTCAAGTACTTTTTGAAAAAAATTAAAGGAGTACATTTATTATTCCCAGATGCAACATTCAAAATTCTCTGTCCAAGTTAGGGCACAAATTATCATGAGGTTATATTTCTAATGATTGAATTAATGCAATTGTCAACTCTCAAACTTATGCCTTCTCATTTTCCGCGGGGACTTGTTAGAGCATATCTTGAAGACCAAGACATGAATGATGCAACAATCCTTGAAGACCAAGCAATCTTTGAAGACCTCCAAGACAATGATGCAACAATTCAGGTAATTGGGAATGAAAATCTATCAGTCTCACCCTCTCCAAAATGAATATATACTACCTCCGATCGTTAATATAAAAGTTAACTTAACATTCAATTTAGTCTTAAATATAATATCTCAATCTATCATATTCATCCATTTTTTTGTAGTAGTTACATATGTTAATAGTTCCATTAAATAGTAGTTTTAACTAAGACACATGATTAGTATTTTAAGAAAGATAATACCTATTTATTATAATTAATTAACTTAACAACCTGTTTTAATTTACTCGTGTTGGTTAACTAATTTTTATATTAAGGATATGAAGTAGTGTGTGTGTTTATATCTCTGTATAAATTGAATTGAGGTGGTCACAACTCACAAACATTCCTTGCTAAAAATGTTCCTTTCTGCTTTAGGTACAGCAGTCACCATCACCATCAAGGTCGGAGAGATGATCAAATTTTTCATAGGATGCTTATCTTTTCTTTTCTTTTTCCTTTGTTCAAATTTTAATGTTTTCACCATTTTTCTTTATATTTGTACGACTTTTACTGTCATCCTATTTTTTTCTTGGGTTTTGATGTCTTGGCATTAGGACCTTAGGTATTAGAAAGTCTTTTTTCTATTATTTGCATTTGTTTGTAGTAATATTTGATGTAACCATGCATTCTATTTCTCTGCCATATGTGAGGGCCGTCAATAAAATTTGGAGATGCCGTCCTTTTTTAAAAAAGAAAAGAAAAAGAAAACTCTTAATGGTTTTTAAAATTCTATTACCATGCATGATTCCTTGATGGCTTGGAAATATTAGGAGAAGTTATTTTATGTTCTCAATAATGTTTTTCTCACGTCACATAAATATTAGAAATGAATTGATGGCCAAAAAAAAATATTAGAAATGAATTATCAATTTAAATATTTTTATTCAAATGTCTTTTTTGGGAAAAAATGATAATATTAGCATGACAGATATTTAATCTGTCAACAAGATTAATAGATATTAACATCGGTTTCCGTTGCCGTGGCATAGGTTTCTCACTGCCTGCTAATAGTTTACTTTGCCACATGCTTCAACTTGATTTGGTTGGACGAGTTGGCTTAGTGCCTGTTTGGGTCAGCGTTTGCTGGCCCAAACGTGGCTTAATTTCAAGATAAGCCATATTGCAGCGTTTGATGATGTTTGGCAGGGCTTCAGATTCATTGAGCTTATTGGATTTTAAGCTAGCTCAACGTACGATTGGAATAAGCTGGAGGAGGGAGCTTATGACTCAATTTGAAGAGCTTATTTCTGCAAGTGTGTCAGATACCTTTTTCCTATTGTTCTCTCCCTTCCGGCACTATTCCTCCTCATTATTTCTCACTCCTCCTTATTATTTCCAATCAGAAAGGGTCCTCGCATAATATTCTCTCGCCTCTGGACTTCATTCGCTCTTTAATATCTTCCATAATTTACAACCATTGGCAGTAATTTTTTTATATTTTTCTTATGTTTTCAATTTTAATTTACTTATTAAATTTTACTTTTTATATTAAATTAAATTAAATTAATTGTATTATTTCAATTCATTTTTTATCATGTTTCATTTTATATTTAAAATATTTTTTATGATTTTTCTAAAATTTTAAAATTTAATTCAATTCTTAAATTTGATTTCTTCATATTAAATTATTTTAATTCCATTATATTATGTGAAATCATTTTTTTAATCATATTTCATTATTTATTAAAATTCATACCCATTTTAGTCATTTTACAACCAAACTTACTTTTACTCAACCATAATCCAAACAACTTTTTACCAACCTCACTTTTGCAAACTAGCTTTTCTGAACTCCAATCCAAACATAATTTAGCTTATCCAATTTAGCTTTTACCCAACTTCACTTCTCTATAAGCTACTTTTTCAATAAGCTACTTTTTCAATCGCTAATCCAAACGGACCCTTAGATTGGGGAATGGTTTTGATGGACTTCGCATGATGGCCATTCTTTCGTTCGTTGATTGAAGCGTGGTTTTATATGATCACATTGCATTTTCTTTTTTTTAGAAAAACCTACTGAATACATACTATCCAATTGACTAATTTAAAAAAATTAAAAAAATTATTTAATTATAGCATGTTATTTATAATTTTTATATTTGTAGTCAAAGTTCAGTCATACGCTGGAGAAGGAAGAAAAAAGTTCAGAGCGAAAGAAGACGACAGAGGGAAGAGAAGACATTTCAAAATTTATTATGCCGCACCCATTCATTTCGAGCCCAACGTGAATGGCCTAATAGTGATCTTTTTCAGGTTCAAGCCCATATTAGTTGGATTTTCTTTTTTCCTGCTGAAGGATAGGTATCTTCGTATTGAAAATAATTCTATCCGAAGTACTGTCAGGTACTAAATGTAGACACATCTCTCAGCAATTATTTGAATATTGATTCGTCACGTTATGAGGAACTAGCCTCTTCCGCTAGATCCAAGCTCATTGATATATTAGTTGGATTTATTGTTTTGAAGCCAAAAAACAAGATTCATTGGTGTTGTACATGCTTTGCTTCTTTTTGTTATTTCTTAATCATATTCCAAGTGTGTTAATGAGCAAACTATTAGGGTTTTGTAAATCTAATGCGTTAGTTTTGACAGTCTAGCGCATCTAAAACTAAAATCACTTCATTTCACTGCATTAATGAATTTCTCCTGGCAAATACTGTGCACTTTTCATAAAGTGTAACCTCTCGTTTTTCCTTCTCATTTAGAATAATTATGATATATAGCAATTAAATATAATAAACTTGATAATGTTGACATACTTTAAAGAACAACTACTCCTCCGGTCCTTATTATAAGACCCAATTTGACTTTTTATTTGGTCCTAATTATAAGACCCAATCCATTTTCTCTTTTATATTTATGCATTTTTTTCCAAGATAATCCTTCTAATAATGATAGTTTTAGCCAATATACTTAATTAGCAAGGATATTTTAGGAATAACAACACTTATTTATTATAAATAACCAACTTAACTTACTTCCTTAATCTCCTCAAATAAGTCAATTTCTTATAATTAGGACCGGAGGAGTACTTCATAGAAATAAATTTTGAATTACTTAAAAAGTATGGTAGCGTGAATCACTCAATTATCCTAATAAGATTGTCGTTGATGTTGAAGTAAACATTATATTGCAGCGTTATGAAGGCCATTTTATATTGACCATTGACCAATGATACACAATCTATCACAGACGGCGTGGAAGGGTCATCTTTTTCTTACTTTTTTTTTTTTGGGTGAATATCTTTTTCTTACTTTTACTACTTTAATGGGGACGAGAAAGTAAAGTAGTCATTTTACATTGGCTTAATGCTGCAGTTTACTTTTTAAATGGTTTTTTTTTTTGCCTCACGAGTAACTTATAATAAGGCCTGAAATGTTATTTGCAAATAAACTTGTGACGTGTTCCTTAGTTTTCATGTGAAGATAATTGTTTAGGCTTCACCAACTATCTCTGCCATTCTCTGCATCAAAAAGGAATTCTTGCCTTTCTCGATGATGAATTCATTAGGATCGGAGAAAATAGCATACCTGCATTTTTCAAAGCTATACAAGAATCAAGAATAGCCAGCAGAGGAGCTTTGATCTAAGAACGTGATCTGTGAAGGATGTCAACTTCTGCTCATTCTTTTCGTGGAAGAGTGAGCTTCAAACTTTGACGAAGCAGTTGTAAGAATGCGCTGTGGTTCCATGAAGAAGGTGATGATTTTTTTAATTAAAATCATGTCCGGTCAGCCTACCAATTCAGCATGCCATGTCAGTAGAATAAATGATATTAGTGACACATCAGCAAACTTAACATCGTTAACTTCACGTCCATATCTTTATTAAACTATAGTAGCTAATGTTATAAATGGAGTAAAACTTGAAGAACTAAAACTTATAATTTAAAATTTTATGAACCAAAACTAAAACTAAAACTAAAATAAGAACAAACTATAATGATGAAATATTATATTAACCCTTTTCCATTTCATCACTCTCCATCCATCTTATTTCCCATTCAAATGCAGTCATCACGTTGATGGGGATCCGATGACGATGCTCATAAAAAAAGATGGCTACCCAAGACGAGTATTCTGAACCATCTAGATTTAATTTTTTAATTTCGATTTTTTTAAAATAATTATTTTAATGGATATAAAATCAAAAACAAAATTAATTATTACTTTTCAAAAAATAATTTTTATTTAAAAATAATTAATTAGAAATGTTAAATATCTCAACCATTCAAATCATGTTTGGATAGTCTAATGCTTATCAAGGGATGAGCAAGGGAGATGAACACCCAAACTTAATCGAGATAAAAGAGATGAAAACAATCTCCTAAAGAATAAAATGTTTCAAAATCGCCTATCTGTTGTTCCATTTGGCCGAAAAAAGATAAGTTATTATAAGTTTTTAATATTAATGTTTTCCTTGTGTCACATAAATATCAAAAATTAATTATAAAGTTTTTACTCAGATGATTTTCATGAAAGAAACGATAATATTAACACACACAAAATCTAAACTATCAATGTGAAATTTTGTTCCCGTAATTATAAAACGACAAGAATTATATTATTTACCTTTTGAATTTCGAATTCTTATTGCTGCATCCTAATGTAAGCTATAAATATTCTGTTGATCAGTCTAAACTAGGTTTGCTTCTATCAAATTAATTTTTTAATTTTTACTTCAATTTTAAATTAAAATAATTTTATTTAAAATTTAAAAAAATAAATAATTTTAAATTTTGAACAATCATTTACACCCGAAGGACGATTATTAGCATATGTTTGTTGACATTTATTACTATTTCAAATACCAGGTCCGGAAATAATAATTTTTAATATTATCATCATATTTGATTATTTAATTTTATTGCGTTTTTAGTTCTAGTATATTCTAATTCTCTAAATTATTGTGGGTTTTGTGCGTTCCCAAATGCTGTATAAAATGGGAAGAAAAATTCAAGAGTTCAGGGTAGCAATGAAGGCTAATCCTTATAACGTAATGAACTAAAGTTCAAATTTTTGCAAGGAAAGATATGTATATTTAGTGTATGACAATGCTCTAATAAAAAAATAAATGTATCTAACCGGAAAAAAAAGGAAAGAAAATTCTGTAACATAATACCACTTTGGTCCTTAAAATACAATCTAACTAAATAATTTGTAAATATTTAAAAAAATAGTTAAATTAGTTATTTATAATAAATGGATATTATTTTTTTAAATATCATTATTAATCATGTACATTAGAATAAAAATCCTGTACCAGATGCGATCACTTAGGAAAAAAATGAATAGCGGTGAGAGTAACTTCACAAATTAATAAAGGGGTCATTTAAAAAAAAAGACACGTACTTTTTATAAATAATTAACTTAATTGATTATTAAATTACTATATGTTTTTTTTGCCAACATATTA